GACCTTACTCCTGAATGCAAAGATGCCACAGACACTCAGAGTATGGTTAAGTATTCCTAGATTGGGTGAGAAGTGACAATGGTACAGACTGCAAATGGGTAAAAGTTTGAATACAAAGGGGGATAATCATGGGAGTCTGCTGAAGGGACTCATCTGAGATCCTTGTGGATCACAAGTAATTGAGGATACTTTTCTTTCTGGAGAAAAAGCTCATTTATTTGTTTTTCTTCTATCACTGGACTCAACTGCCCCCCATACTGTTAATTGTTCTACTTCGTGGTTTGGGCCAGACCCTTACAGGCACCAAGGCACACTCGAGTCTTGGAAAAATAGTCATCTGAGTGTGTGCTGGGGACAAGTCTAAGCTCCAGTCATATACAATTAGCGGAAGTCTGGACCATCACACTTTGGGACTAAGAACTGTTCATCATGGACGTTCTTAGGGATTCTTCCTTCAGAACACTGGGGAAGGTAATCAAGAAGGGGCTAGCTGCTCCTGCCAGGGAACCTTCCTGCTTCCCAGAGAGATGCCCATAAATAGGGACACACCCAAAATGGCCAAAGGCACCCTCACCTGAGAGTGCTGGGGGTGATGAAATTTCCTGATCAAATTTGTGAATTTATAAAACAGTGAGTTTTTGTACCTCTCTGTGGAATATATGGACATGTCCCCTTAGTGTCTCCTGGAGAACGGCTTTCAGTGATTGATGTGCACCGCGCCCAAGATACTTTCATTTAACCCCACTATTCCAGGATGGCTCATTTTGGGAGGAACCACCTCTTAAAGATCTTAAAGTCGTCCCTCCTCTCCCTGCTTCCTACAGTCACTCAATCCGTTTCACTGGGTAAGATTTGGTGAGAGCAGCAGAGCTCTGTAAAAGACTTGGGGGCCCGTCCACAAACAGAGCTTTCACATCCCCAAGTTTTCTTTAAATGGATGCCTTGGGCTATAACCACATGATACAGACACACTCTGGCCAATACAGCCTAAGGGTTGTAGGTCAATACTGGGTTCCTGACACCAGCCTTGGAAAAGGAATACTGTAAATACTCAACTAATTGGTAGCCATGGCAATAATACGGTGCCAGGAAAAGCAGCAACAAGGGCCTAAAGCTATGACACAAGGGGAAAAAGGATGAAGACCTTGCTGTCTGTCTCCTATTACTGGGAGCTATTTATTGGGTCTGATGGGAAAAGCCCAAAGTTAATTTCTTTTTCAGTCTAAGCAGAAAGGGAAGGGAAGATGCATTTATACAGCACCCACTACCTGTCAGGTACTGTGCTAAGTGTTTTTTTTTTTACAAATACTATCTAATTTGATCCTTCTAACCTATAATGTAGGTACTACAATTATCCCCATTCTGCAGTTGAGGAAAATGAAGCAGAGGTTAAGATTAACAGGGTCACACAGCCAGCGTCTGAAACTGAATCTGAACTCATGTCTTCCTGATTCCAGGGCCAGCACTCTATCCTCTGTGCTGCTCGCTCCCTCTGAGAGTGCAAGTCCTCAGAGTAGTACCAAAAGGCTGCAGAAAAAGGATTTTTGGTTGTCTTCTGTTGTGCAGAAGTGGGGTTTATCAGTTAGACTCATTGCACGGGGAACTCTATTAGCCATTTTGGCCTGCTTGTACTACTTTGAGGGTTTAGTCTACCCAGCAAAGAAGTCTACTTGGGGCTATTAGAAAAACGGACCTATAATATCCTTGTTAAAATGAACTTTCAGATAAGCAAACTCCCTCCACCAATCTGATCTGGAGCGGCTCTGCAACTTGTAGTCTTAAGAGCAGGCCAGAATATTCAGAGGCAAAGTGACTCGTCTAGGGTCATACGGCCACTATCTGTCAGAGGCAGGACTTGAATCCAGGCCTTTCTGGCTCCATGGCTGGCTCTCTTTCCACCGTGCCACATGGCATACTCAAAAGAGACATGGCATCATAAATAACCAAACCTATCATCAGTGTATGGAGCTGCTTCCTCTCCTAATGCAGATTATCCCTTTCCTAGCCAACCTGTTACACAGTACATTGCTGGCCTCTGCACCAAAGGGTGCAGCTTCTGCTTAAAGAGAAGGCCCAGGGGCAGCTAGGTGGCACAGTGGATAGAGCACCGGCCCTGATGTTAGGAGGACCTGAGTTCAAATCTGGCTTCAGACCAAACAGTTGACACTTACTAGCTGTGTGACCTTGGGCAAGTCACTTAACCCCAATTGCCCAAAACAGAGAGAGAGAGGGAGGGAGTGAGGGAGGGAGGGAGAGAGAGAGAGGGAGGGAGAAAGGGAGGGAGAGAGAGGGAGAGGGAGAGAGAGAGAGACAGAGAGAGAGAGAGGGAGAGAGGGAGAGAAAGCCCATACACTACAACAAGGCCTGATGGTGACTTCAAGACCTGAAGCTCTGAACAGAAGACTAGAAAGCATGCTAAGGTTAGACCTTGGGGGATTACCCAATGGGAAGCCTAATGATTTTTCAATACTGCCCATCACATTTACAAAAATCGATCACATGACAATATAAAGACCTCGTGAACAAATGCTGGAAGGCATAAATATCAATTATATGCTTTTCAGGACATAACATAATAAAGCTGTAGTAAGAAGAATATGAACACTTAAATGAAGGTTAATGCAATTACAAAGGAATAGATCTCATTAAGATTATGTGAAAATTTGGGAGGTGTATTTAAATTAGTATTTTGAAGAAAATTTGTATCACTGAATATCTCCACTGACAAAAGGGAGAAAGAGAAGACCAATGAATGGTTTATAGAACTAAAAAAATCCAGAAAAACAAATGAGTAATCCCTAAACAATTTTTTTTTAATCTAAAGAAGAGATGAAGCTCTACTTTTTTGTTTCCAATTTGGTTCATCTCTTCTTTGAATTTAAAAAAAAAAAGATAAACATATAGGTCTACAGGTAGTGGCCGCTACTCTGGGACAATGGATAGAGCACCAGACCGGGAGTCAGGAAGACCTGAGTTCAAATCTGGCCTCAGATACTCACTAGCTGGGTGGCCTTGGGCAAGTCATTTCACTGTTTGCTTCAGTTTCCTCAACTGTAAAATAAGCTAGAGAAGGAAAAGGCAAATCACTCCAGTATCTTTGCCAAGAAAATCTCAAATGGGATCATGAAGACTTGGACACAAATGACAACAGCTGAAGAATAAAAGGACAAACAATGCCAATTACAACAATATAAGAAAATTAGGAGAATGGGTTTAGTCGAAGAGCAAGTAAAATGAACTACTTATGGTTAATAAATTGGTTTACTTTAGGATACCCAAGAGAAGGAGTTTTTAACCTTTTTGTTTCATGGAACCCTTTGGCAATCTCACAAAGTTTATGCTCCCCACCCACCCCCCTTCCCAGAATAATGTCTTTAAATAAATAAATAGGATTTGAACTCAGGTCCTCTTGACTCCAGGGCCGGAGCTCTATCCACTGCACCACTTAACTGCCCCAAAGATTTTTTTTGGCTAGGCAATGGAGTTAAGTGACTTGTCCAGGGTCACAAAGCTAGTAAGTGTCAAGTGTCTGAAGTCGGATTGGAACTCAGGTCCTCCTGACTCCAAGGCTGGCACTCTATCCACTGAGCCACCTAGGTGCCCCGATAAGCAGTCTTTTAAAGAAGAAAAAGAAACCACAATAAGCTGGAAAAAAAAATTCACAATCACTAATAACTAGAAGAATGGAAATTAAAACAACCTCAAGGTTTAACATTTAACACCCAGCAAATTAGCAAAGACGCTAAAGGACAAGAAAAATCACTATTCAAGGTGCTGTGAGGAAACATTCATTACTGTTAGAACTATGAATTAATTTTAAAATTCTAGAAAACAACTTGGAATTATGAAAGAAAATTAAATTGTTCATACCCTCAGATGAAGGGATTCTACTACTAGGACTACATTCTATGGAAGTTAATGACGATAAGAAGAGACTTACAAGTAAGTAAAGTAAAAAAAAGTAAAAAAAGATCAGAGGTGTACTGTTTGTTACTAGAAAACTAACTAAAAACAAAGTCTGCCTAACAATGGTAATATTTGAAGAAATTAAGATATGTGGATGTAATGGAATATTACTGTACCCGTAAGTTATACTCAATTCAGAGAAATATGCAAACATTTGTATGAAGTAACAGGAAACAAAGAAGACAAAGTCAAAAGGTAACAAAATTCTGATAAATAAAATGGTCAATGTAATTCTTATTGCAACATTAAAATTAAAAGCGACACCCCTCCTTTCTGGTAACAACTGAAGAGCTAGCTCTTTTTTGGGGGGAATGTACTTTGTAAGTCTGTGTCAAACAAAATCATTAAATTTATTTTTAAAAGCAAAGAAAATTGTTTTCACTTAGTATCTTACGGAATTAAAGATAGTTAGTTCAATGGATTCCACAAGAGGAAAAAATACTTAATAAAAATTTTATACTTTGGAAAAGAATGTCTAACAATTAAAAAGGTTTGAGAGACACAGTTTCTGGGTCTGGGTAATTTAATAGTTCTGTTAATAAGACCAGTATGTTTATTAATAAAAGGATGGTCATTTGGCCCTCTCTCTTAGACCAAAGATCATCAGTGGCAGGCTCACAGTTTATATACCCTTCAAAGAGTAGGTGTTCCATGAGGGGCTGAGAGTGACATCATATCACCCTTGGACAGAGAGACTATCTCTATACCCAGACCACCCCCAACGTTGGGCAATTCTATTAAAAAAAGTATGCCCCATTCAAGCCTGAGCAGAACACAATAGCTACTCCACATAGGTGGGGTCTTGAACAAGAAAGTTAGTCCAGTCTCATTATCAGCATTGTCCTTCAAGAAATTGAACTTCATAAAAATCAGTACTTTAGAAAAAGAGGAGAACTCTGGATCTCCCCAAATCATTGGCTATTAACAATCATTTCTCTCAAATGAAATATTATTTTTTCTTATCATTCAAGAAAAAAATTAAAAGACAAACTAATTGGGTCAATTCAAAATAGTATTTGTTATCAAATACTTACGAGCATTCCTCAAAGACTTTCACCCTTTCACAGCCTTCAGGAGGTTCCCGTTTAAACATATAGCTGTTGTTAGGTTTTGGTGAGGTGGCATATTTGGGCAGAGGAGAGTTGTTCCCATTTTCTGAAAAGAACAAAATAGTGGAAAACTTACTAAAATACAAAGAAACACACAAAATATAGAATATTTAAAACAAGGAACTCACAGCATGCTATTTTAATAAAACTCTAAGAAATGTAGGAAATCCCTTTACCAAATCAGGTTTCTATGACAAAACTTAAGTCATTTCCCATCTTCCTATCCTTAATTCTTCTCTCAAGGATCTAATTTCAACAGTGTAAATCCTTTTATAAAGGGAAATGTGATGTAGTCAAAGGAACACTGAATTTGGAGTCAGAAAACTAGTGTTTTAATTCTGGCTTCGCAATTTATTATTTCTATGACCTTGGAAAAATCACTTTTCAGCTTCTACTGTTTATTTCTCAGCTTCAGTTTAGAGATCCTAGGATTTGCAGCTGGGAGGGAGGGAAGGAATCATCTTTCTCATTGCATAGATGAGAAATATCTAGTCAGAGAGAGGCTGACTTGCCCAAGGTCACAGAGGTAGTAGAGTCCAGAGCTGAATTCTGGAAGTCTGACTCCCAATCTCATCTGTAAGATTAGAGGGGAGGGCCATAAGATTTTTAAGTTCCTTCTAGCTCAGAAATCCTAAGACTTTATCTGTAAATACAGTGTGATAGTCTTAAAACGTAGGAGTCCCTATGACTATTTTAGCCTCTAAATTAGGAAGTATTCCTGAGTTACATTATATTTGAAGGAGAAGAGTCAGGGGATCAAATAGTAGTAAATTCAGTAGAGAATTCAAGAAACTCTCATTTTGGCTTTTCAAAGTCTGTCTTCTGGTTTTTTTAGCTTTCAGCTTGTTCTCTTTGTCCTTAATATGTCCCAATTGTTCTGTCTTATTTACCATTTATCTCTCTTAATTCTGGACCACTTACACATCTCTCTTTACGCTCACTTCCTGAATTCACGTACAATCTCTATTACCACCTGCATACAATCATTAAATCTCTACCTCCTACCCTAACTTCACACTTAAAGGTATAGTCTTTTTTTTTTTAAACCACAGTCCTATTTTATAGGAAAACCAATACATTGCTACTTTGATGTCTCTCTCCAGTACCCCAAACTTTTTAAAACTAAGCCCACCACCTTCTACTATGACCATGAATCAATAATGCTTTGTTGCTGTTCAGTTGTTTCACTCATGTCTGACTCTGTGACCCCATTTTGGGTTTTCTTAGCAAAGATACTGGAGTGGTTTGCCATTTTCTTCTCCAGATCATTTTTACGGATGAGGAAACTGAGGCAAACAGGGTTAAATGACTTGCCCAGGGTCACACAGCTAGTGTCTAAGGCCAGATTTGAACTCGGGTCTTCCTGACTCCAGGCCCAGTGCTTTATCCACTGTGCCACCTAGCTACCCACTGTGCGACAACAATAATGCTTAGTACTTTTTAATAAGCAGGTTCAATTTATAACTTTTAAAATTTATTTCATTCTTCTGACCTGTTCTCTTACCAAATCAAAATAAAGCCCCATCAAATCTACCTCTAAAAGATTGCTTATTTTTTTATTTCCAATCACCATAGGCCTTTATCTATGTTATGATACCCTCCTAGTGGGCCTCCCCCTATTTCTATCTCATCTAAGCTTCCCCCCCTATCCCCACCCCCATTAAATTATTACTCTATTCAATTATCTATAGTGGCTCTTGCCTCCAATACTTACTATTAACTCCTCAGTCTAACTTTCAAAGCCCTCCACCAAAACGTCCACCTTGTATCCCACCAAGCTCATTTCTCTACTCACCCATTTTGTAGCCACTGCTCCAGACAAGCTCTACGTCAATAATTTGTTTATTCCCATCTCTGCATTCCCTCTAACTCAAAGGTACTCACAACAGCTCATGAATATCCTCTACTAATTCATAGAGGGCTCACAAGCTGCACTGGTGGAAGGCATACTCACAGCATACCCATTAAATCATGGATCCTTAAAGGATTGAAACAACGAAGTTAGAGGTCACCTAAGTGTTCTAAAACAAGTTCTTGTTTGTACGTTTCATCTTCTCAGCTAGACTGTAAACTCTCTGAGGGAAAAAATTTTTTTCATTTCTTTTGTAGATATTATGTGACCCTACGGTGTTTAATATCATGCAACTCTTGCAACAGGCATTTCAAAAATGTCAGTGTCACCACTTTAGAACTTGAAGGGACCTTAGAAATCATGGTGGCGAACCCCTCTCATTTTATAGATGAGGACCCCCAATGCTCAGGAAAGTTAACTGACTTGCTCAAAGGGGTAAGCATCAGACCTAGTCTGTCTGGCTCCAAATCCAGCATTCTTTCCAAATCGGCCCCCTGCCTTCTGAGGCCTCTGAGTTCCAAAGGAGCCCCCATGCAGAGGAAGCAAAGACTCGGGGAGAGAACACCACCTGCTTGTTCATGTCTCAGCTTGGACTTCTGCACATAACGTGAAAGCTTACAAGTTCTAAATGGAGACAATGGTCAATATTGACAATACTGACAAAGGATATTTTAGAAGAGGCAGAGTTACTTTCAAGCCTGTACATACAGTACATGAAAGTAAGCCAACAACTTCTCGTGGACTGGAAATCCTTTGTAATTTGCATATCTACTGCTTAGGTTAAATGGTCACTTCTAAAAAGTAATAAACAATTTATTCTTTTAGATAGTTTAAAATAGTGGTGTCAAATATCAATAGAAATGGGGGCCACTAATCCTTATGAGAACCCCCAAGGGCTACATATTGATTTAGTTTTGAAGTGCAATATGGCTTACGTTTTATTATATTTTTATTTATTTTGCTAAATATTTTCCAATCATTTTCATCTGGTTTGGGCTGCCCTTGTGAATGTTGTGCGCCAAGTATCTGACACCTCCAATTTAAACTACTTCTTCTCCCCATCCTGTCTCCATGACTGGCTTGACTATTCCTCCTGGAATTAAAACGAATTCTGGATCTGATCATCAGATTTATCCCTCTACAGACCTCCTGACTAAGACGCTTTATTGAGCTATGATGTAGAGAAGGAGACAAATGACCTGTGCATAACAAAGCATTCAAAACTAAGAGGTTACGCTCCTAACACCTCACCGGTTAAGTTCACAGCTTATATCACCAATACCTAACTTTAAGCAAGTACATAGATTTGGGTTATAAGGATGGCTCTCTCTTTTACTGTCAGTGTAACCTCAGTTAGCAAGCAAATCATTTAACCTTTTTACTCTAGCTCCTCATCTGTAAAATGGGGTCAACACCATTTGCTCAGCCCTCAGGGCATTGTTGAGACAATCAAGTGGCTATGAGAACATACTGTAACTGTAAAGAGTTATACAAATATAAATTATCATTATGCAAAGATAAAAGGAAAACCCAGAAATAAAAGTATAACCAAATTCTTTTCAATTCGCTATATGAATAATGAGTATCTTAGTTCAAACACCTCAACGCTCTTAAATACATGCTAGAAAATGGAGTGCAAACTCTTACTAATATGATTAGCAATTAGGATTTAGACTGTAAGAGTTGGATAAACTAATAATAGCATTATTTCCTCAGGGCTATACCTTTATCTCTGGGATCAACAAGAAGGTCATCAGCAGAACAAGGGCTCTCTTCACTACCTTCATTTGAGATGGTAAGGAATGAAGTGGGGGACACAGATTGGGAGCGGCTGCTATTGTTACTTCCCCTGTCTGCTCCACCAGGTGTTTGGGTATCAATACTGCGCGTACTACTACTGCGCTGTACCAAGGGAGGAGGTGCACGATGACCATCTGGAATATCTTGTGGCTGTTGTAAATAAAAAACAAATTCTCCACTTAATTGTTGATTTGTAACTGTCCATTGTCAACCTTCTCAAAGCACACACCAAGGGTTTTTAAACTATTCCCTTTGCCCACCACCTAGGTTGTGAAACTCATATATCTATTACTTCCCTTCGTGTTCAACAGGCCTAATTAAAGGGAAAAAAGTCACGAACCAAAAATTTGCTTTTTTATAGTAGTACAGAGAAATAAGGACATGACGTGGTTTCAGAATCAAGGGGACCACGGGTCTGGTAGTGTTTTACCTGCTGTGATCCTTTCGCTTTCCCTCCCCAAGACACCCCTCTTCTTTTTAGGTCTCGTCAGAGGGAAGGGCAGGAGTGGGCAGACCTCACCCTCTCCAGAGAAGAGAAATTAGGAGTACTGAAGCCATCTGTCACCAGTATTGAAGAGACCTTTCAGAAGTAATCAATGTTTGCCCTCCCTCTCCCTAAGTGAGTCCGGAAGGAAGCCTCAGAGAGAAATAAACCAGATGTGACTGTATACACAGCATGGCTGATGGAAGAAGGTGGGATCTTACCTGCCTTAATGGAATGGAATTTGTTATTTCTTATTTGCAAAATCAGAGGCTGAGATTTCCTGTAAGACCAAGGCAGAAGTGTCCACCTCTCCCCAGTAAAGTTCAAACAGTGGGTGCTCTATCTCAACAGCTCAGGAACTCCGCAGAATGATAATTGTGCTACGCTAAGTGTATGACCCTTGGTTCTTTCCTTCCCTCCTCCTTCTCAGAGAACTAAGGAGATTTAGACGAACATGCTGAGACAATGAGTTGAAAATGAGCAACATTCAGATTGAATTTTACATGTGTGTTCTCAGATAAGGAAACCAATGGAGGTCAGCACTTCTCTGCAAATTAAAAAGTCTGAGAGAGTTGCCAAAAGTGCTCAGAGTTTAGCTAATGGCCTGGCCCAGGGCACACACAGCATGACTAGAACATAGGTTTCCTGGCCTTATGGCTGGCTTTCTTGCCATACTGTGTCTCACATGGTGGCATGTTTCAACAGAAAAAGAAATGACCTCTAGTCTGATCAGGTCACTCTGAACCAAGACCTACCACAGCCTAAAACCCTTAACTGATAACCAAATAGTAATGAATATGAAGGTTCATAATATGTAAAGTTTTAACTATCAAATACAATAGGTCAAAAAATTGAAAATTTGCCAGAATGGGCAGGTACATAGATAGCCCTTCTCAAAACTAGTAACTAGATATGAGTAGCAATTTAAATAATTTCTACACAAAAACCCAGACATCCCCTCTCCTCAAAAAAGCTAACTTGGTAGAGTGTAAAGAAATTAAAACAAAAAACAAAAAGCAAAACTGTGTTAAACTTAAAAGAGGCCTAAAATCTCTTTGCTATAGAAAGGCAAAGGCAAATTTTGTTTGAAAACTGCATTTTGTCTTAACAGAAAAGGAAGAAATGAGCTTACTTTCCCTTTTTTAATTTTCCAATTATGGATAATAAATTAAATGGGGAAAATATGAACGATGAGGCTTTCTATATAATTCAATTTAAACATTTATTACATACCCACTCCGTGGAAGGCACTGTTTTAAGCACTGGGAAATACCCAATCAATTGTGTAAATAAAATGTGTTAAGATTTTAAAGAACAGAATACTCACTATAAGCTGCTCTTCCTTTTCTCCAGTTTCTTTAATTATTATTTCAATTTCCTGGTTTAACCCTTCCACACTATTCCGGAACCGGGACCCTGTTGATTTGGTGATGGGAATCACTGGAATAAGTATACTCTTTGGAATAGGAGCCTGAAGAAAACACAAAAGAGGTTTAATGTGACATTTTAATTCTCTATTCAATTCAATAAACATCTATTAAGCACCTACTAAAAGTAAGGCCCTCAGCTAGGTGTTGGAAATACAAGGACAAAATGAATATATAATAAGCTTTGAACAGGCTTAATAATTACATATTTTATTTAAAAAAGCATCAAAGTTTATAGGTAAGAAACTATAGTCTGCTTTCTTAAATCTAAAATAGAAATGAAAATTGTAAAAATTAAAATTCAGGTTTTAATCCCCTAGGTGTGAGACAGATTCTTCAAAAGTTTATTTATCAAAATTTTTAAGGTATCTGGCTGTTTGAAATTTTCTTAAGAGTTTTTTTTCCCCTCAATTTCAGAAATCTTTTCCTGACTTCGACAGTTTGTGTCAGTTCTTTCTAGAGTACAATTTAAAAACACTTTAGCATCAGATTCTCTGTAGTAGAGAAGAGCAAAGGAAAATATTTCCAATGTCCACATACGGTAGTGAAACTGTAGCAATGACCACTTTTCTGTGACTTACTGTACATAATTGCTGCAGTTAGGTGGTGCAGTGGATAGAGCAACAGGCCTGAAGTCAGGAAGACCTCATACATTTAACAGCTGTGTGACTCTTGGCAAGTCACTTAACTCTGTTTGCCTCAGCTTCCTCAGCTGTAAAATGAGCTGGAGAAGGAAATGACAAACCACTCCAGTATCTCTGCCAAGAAATCTCCAAACGTGGTCATGCAGAGTTGGACATGACTAAAGCGTCTGAACAACAACAACACTGCAATGTTTTGGTTTTAAAAGGAAGTGATGCAAATCACTTCTTCCTTTTCCAAAGTCTATAGCTTGTGTGTGTGTGTGTGTGTGTGTGTGTGTGTGTGTTTTCAATCTTTAAAATTTTACTAGACCATATTAACTTTAAAAAGAATGTGACTGATTATGTATAACTACAGAGTATTATCAGCTTTCCTGATAAGATGGCCAAAACTAATATATAAAACATCTATTAGGAGACATATCTTCATAAGCTTCACATATTTAAGGCAATTGAGGAACACAGATAAGGATGGTCATTTTGCAAATCTCTTGGCCTTATTGAAGGACTTTATTCATAAGGGACTGTGCTTCTTTTAGGTTTTCCCCACTACCTTAATGTAGTACCTGACACATAATAGATATTTAATAAACAACTACTGATTCATTTATATCATTAAACAGGATGTACATCATCATACTTTGTGTTACACAGATGGCCACAGAACATTCTTTTCAAAAGTCTCCTAGCCTCCGTTTATGGGAAGGGACAAGCTTAGCAAAATTGACTAGCATTAAAGTGAAACTGGTTTCAGGAATTTGTTAATGAATCAGCCTTAGTGACAACTCTGAAATAACTTCTAAATTATAGATTATTTGTGTGTACATGCATATGAACATAAAGAAGTTAGTCTAAAGGACCCTTAAGTAGTTAAGAGATTGGGTAATACACAGTTTTTGTATTTATCAAGTGACAGTTATCCTCAGCTAAAATGGGGGACACAGTTAACCCAGCCTTACAAAGTTCTCTCCTTCCCCACTGCACAAAGCAGAACTTCGATGGCAGATGAAAGAGATAAAAGAAGAGGATCTTCTCCTGGCTCCTTAACCCTGACCTCAATTTTAGTAAAGTCGAGACTGTTATTTAGAAAGGAAAGGGGTAGACTGGAGAGCTCTATAATAATATATAGGTCTATAATATAATAATAAGCATCTATAATACAGCTATGTAATCTATGTCATCCTCTTCAACAAACCACAGAACTACAGCTGTTCCAGAAGAGGTGAAAAAGTAGTCTAAAGAATGTAGGTGCCTACTGACTAAGAGCGGACAGATGATTCACTTTTACAAAAACGAAGGTCATGACTAATTAAGGTAGGCATGCAATAATAATTACAAATATGGAAAGGGCACATTAAATTTTGGCACCAGATGAAAAGAGCTATTGGTTTCAAGTTGGTATGAAGTCTCATTTGAGAAACGAACTAAGGCACTTGTAGCTACAGAACCACAAGCTGTAAACAGTACTCTAGGGGAGAGGTAGCAGCAAAAGCAATGGTAGTAATTGGAAACTTTGTTATAGAACCCCAACTTACAAGTCTTCTAGACATAAGAATTTGCACATAATCTTGTAACAATTCCAACAAAAGTTTTTTAATTTTTTAACATTTTAATACTAAAATACTTCCTTGAATAGCTATGGTTACATAAACAATACTCAGCAACCTATCTAATTAGAACCTGTTTAAACAGTAAGCACGGCCAAGTGTTAAACATTCTTATGAATTACTGTTCCAGCTCTAAATGCACTTTCTAAGTGACTACCAGTCACTTCTTGGTACAGTGATGCCTCCCTACTTCTTTACTAATGACAGTGACCTTTCAGCTAGATAAATTCTCTAGAATCCCTAACCTATTGTTTTATAGTTCTTCTCAAGTGCAGTTTACCCGATGCCAAATATTTCCCAACTGGTTTTTCTCTAGCTTTAGGGGGAAAAAACCTTATGTCTAGCCAACATTTCAATCAGCTCTACTAGATATAAATAAAAAAAAGAAATTTAGTTAATCAATAGTAAGCATCTATCTTGAACATATCATATCTGACTGTGAAGGAGAATTAAGACATAGTTTCTGCCTTCAACAAGGTTACAATTAAGGAAAGAAAATAAGATATGCTATTTATCAAATAAAAATAAAGATTTTGCTAGAGGGAGAAGGAATAGATTTTTTTAAGTTTTATGAAAGCACAAGCAACGGACACTAATAAAGACCTCTTTTCTGCAAAATGAGGGGGCATCTGAGGCATCCTACATGCATATCCTATGCTCCAAATGTTACTTGCCTGAGATTTATAATAAAAACGAAAACAAACAAAAAAACACCTTGTATAATTAACAGAAGAGCTTTAAATAGCTAAAATTTCTGGCTATCCAGCCAGGCTCTGGGGTAATGTCTTGGTTACCTTAACTATGGCAAAATACCTTTATTACTTTAGGGAACTACTGAAAGCAAAGCTGAAAGTCACTATCACTGATATAAATTTGAAGTTAGAATTAACATTTGTCCTGACTGCATACATTCCATGGTTCTGAAAAATAGTTCAGTCTATTAAATACCAGGGTTATTACTAACTTGACCAAAACTTATCAGTAACTAACTTGGCTTACAACTGTCCATTTCTGCATGAAGTTAATTAAAATGATTTTCTGGACTTTGTTGGAATTAAACATATACCAGTACATATTTCTAAAAAGTTAATGGTTAACACACTTCATCATTTATTAATAAAAAATTCACATATCACACAGATGCACTTCTGTTTGTGGAACTCTCTGATCAAACAACAATGCCCCTTAGACTAGATGACATTTAAAATTACTTCCTTAAGGCTAATTATTGTCACTAACACAAATATACTATGTGCATAAAATATGAAAAATTGAATCCATATCAAAATGTCTTATGTCTGCCTGTCTATCTATACATAAACTCAAGATGAATGGGATGTCTCGACTAATTTTTCTAGGATTAACTGGGAGTCAAATAGGAAAACTTGTTTCATTTTTTGTTGAAAAACTTTTTAAAAGGTATTATCTCTTTACCTTTCTTAGTATAATGTAATGAACACAGCTATATCTTTGACTATTTTGAATCTTAGAATGCCTCAAGTTAATGATTCAAAACACCAATTTTTATTTGCAAAGTACCTTAAAAACATAAGGTAAAATATATTAGGATGAATCTCTATTGATCCTTGGTTAAATAGCCAGAAGTTATGGCATATGTTTTTTAACTCCAGAATAAATTCCTGATAACCCTTTTTTTGTCTTGTTTCATTATTCTAAAAAGTAGGACACTTAAAACAAATTCTAGCCAATTAAAGGTTCTGGTTAATACTATAAAATTAATTATGGCCAAAAATCAACAATTTTTTTTTTTTTTAGTTTTTTTGGCAATTGGGGTTAAGTGACCTGCCCAGGGTCACACAGCTAGTAAGTGTCAAGTATATGGTCTGAGGCCGGATTTGAATTCAGGTCCTCCTGATTTCAGAGCCGGTGCTCTATCCACTGCGCCACCTACCTGCCCCAAAATCAACACATTGTAATAAAGAAATTAGTCAACTAGTCCACATTACTCAGAAACTGAATTGAATCCTGTAAAGAACAAATATTCACCTGGGAAACAAGACTGTAGTCTCACATGATTCAGGAGAAGTAAAGAAAATGTTTAACTTAGGCAGAGAATGTGGAGTGTATCAATGTTAGAGGTAAAGAAGGAAAAACTCAAGAAACAACTTGGAGGAGAGAGAGGGAGAAGGAAATTGATGAGAATTGTCAAAAGGATAACAAATTGACTGTTTTTAAAGGTTAAAGATATGGCAAAGGCTCTATCTAAATGGAACCTCATCTATCCTAAGGACTTGGAAAGCAGTGTGGTATAATGTAGCTAGATTTGGAGTCTTAGGACAATAACTTAAAACTGTCTCAAATCCCTATGGACTTCAGTTCTGTAGTCTGAGAAATGACTTCTGTCCCTTTTAGCTCTACCTCTATGGTCGTACAACTTTACACCTAGTGCCTCTCCCCAAATCTAAGCCACCTTTCCTATAATTCTTACCTACAAAGATCAATACTGTCTGTGTGCTCATTCCTAACACAGTTCTCCTTTGGTCTTGGCTGGCTCTAGCAAAAGCTTAAAACTACAAGGAAAACAATTGCTATTACCTAGCGAGAGAGCTTGGCAAAACAAAAGAATTAAAATTAGGGTGTCTCCAGTTACTGCCCAGTGGCAGCTGATAGTAAAGAATTCTGCCAGCACCTATACAGACTCTGGGTACAGTAACGGGAACCAAAGCCCAGACAAAGAACTGAGAAAATTTCTGGTCAGTTCCACCCTCGGGACAGGGCTTCTTTCAAACTACAACAACCAGATAATTGCCTGATTATGCCTTCTTTCTTTCAAAA